TCCAAACTTGGGATTGATCTGTTTCAGGTTTATATGATTCTTGTTTCTATTTAGATTCCACGTTCCCATTACTTTTTGAATTTTTTTCCCCTTCATTCTGTGTTTTATTAGTTAAAATACAAATCCAGATATGAAACTGATTACCTTTAAAATTGTATGCACATGATTTTGGTGTCATAATTTGTATAGCAGCTCTTGCTACTTTGTTACACAGTCGTGTTTATCAAAAAAAGGATTGCGTGAGAACGGATGATCCCTGTGGTATGCTTTTCAACCAAATAGTGGGGGCAAGCTGGCTTCTAATCAACAAACCCGGATTTAAGTTCTTGTGGTGTAAATTGATTCCTCTTACTTGAAATTAATGGACAAATTGTTGCCACAAAGTAAGTGGGTAAGACAAGGTTTCTAACGCCAGATGTTATGTTCATTCAATTGAGAGAAATCCATGGAGGTGGAAAGTTTGATGAGTTAAGGTGTTAGTAGAGTTTTAAGAGTTTAGTTAAAGATAATTTTGAAATAATATGCTACTAGTGGATAGCCTAATTTTTTGAACCTTGTTGCAATAAATCTATTATATTTGTTATTGAATGGGGTCAATTTATATAGCATAGTAGCTAAATTGGAAATAAATGAGTTTTACACAATTTTTGTGAGCTGAGTAAATTACCTAAATCGTTTACGCAGTGTACAATTGTTACCGTTTTGTTTTTTGGTTTATTCTAACGATATGGTGCTAGCTCACAATACATGAGATATGCCGACACTGATAAAACTGGAGAAGGCAAGTTCTTTCATGCAAGCATGTGGTATTTCTTCCAAGATTTTTTGGATGCTAATCTCATACATGAGTGATGACTTGTTAGCAGACGTATCTTTCTTTTTATGATTAATTGATGCATATGGTAGAGCATTGTCAAGGCTTATATCTCATTTTATATTCTATCTTATTTTCATTTGTGCCTAATGCATTATGTGTTGCGTATTAGCTTAATTGTTGTGTTGCGGATAAAGGACTTTTCCTGTGTGTTTAATTTGGAGTTTGCAATTGTATGTTTATATAGTTGATGGAATCTGGTTCAATACGCAAAAGTGAAACATTTCCAACAATGTTTTTTTATTTCACGACAACCCGATGAGATACCGTCTAAATTCCGATAATAGCGCATGATCTCTGCTGCATTTTATTTTTATGTAATAAGATTATAATTTGGATTTCAAAATCTCAAAAGTAGAATTCTACACCACTCCATCGATAATTATGATGAGAATTGGTTTCATCTCATATACATGTCAAAATACAATGTTATGCCTGAAAAGCCTAATGAAATACATAGGATTCGGAATCCATAATTCATATTTAAATAAGTTCGGTAAAAGGACCTCGAGATAACGTCGTAAGAACATTATCCGTTATAACATCATATAACATTAATATGTAAAGGCACATTATAGTTAAAACAAAATAATAAACACATCGAAATAATAATTCTTAATTTACTCTAGGTTACTTTGTTAATGATCAACTAGACTATTTTTTTTATTATCGTCCAACAAAAAAGTCAATGAGATTTATTGCTAAAATGATAAGTTTCAACAAAATCTGAGTATCTGTTAGCACAAACATGTCAAAAGTATATATACACTAATGGGATGCAATTCTTATTGGTACGTCTCATTGGAAAATTGGATTGATGGCGTGAATGGGTGTGGGTTGCCCCGAAAGTTGAGTCGTGTGTTCTCAAAGTCAAAACAAAAGTATTTGTTTGGGCAATTTGGAGAAGCAGGAACCATTTGATGTCTAACAGCAATACACATGCAATGTACAACCTGGGCAACGGCCCAGGGGCCATTGAGGTTTAGGGTCCAATTTTAAAATCTGTTAGTATTACTATATTAATTAGGATATAACACTTGGGTTTTTGTTTAAAAGGTCTTTGATATATTTTTTTAATAATCTAGGTCATCAAATTTATATGTGATCACATAATTATACCAACAATGTATTTTTTATCCGATTTCTTAAAGTTTTGTTGATTTGAATATTTTTTTTTTTTTTACTTTTAGTCTTACAATCTCACGAAAATTCCTGTCATTATCTTCATCACCCAACCCAACCCAACCACCCTTATTTCTCCAATATAGCCACCGTTTACTCTCTCTTTCTCTCTCTCTCTCAACACAAACTTAATTATTTTATATTTAATAAAAATAGTTTTATTTAATAGTTGAATTTATTAAATTAATTAAAATAATATAATTTGTAAGTAAATAAATTGTTTAAAACTTCTTTTATAATCTAAAACAATAAAATCTATTCTGATAAATAAAAAAAATATTACATGTTACACTCTCATTCATTTTGTCATATGTTATTTTATGGTTATTTTTAATTAGTTTTTTTTTCCATATGTCATTTTATGGTTTTTTCCATTTTATTAAATTCAACATAATATTTAAATGCAATAATTCATATCAATTTCATTAATAGATTTTCCTTCTAATTTCAAAATTCCTAAATTAAAGCTTCATTAATTTCTTTTGTTTATTTATCAAAAACATTTGTTTAAATTTAAAAAAGAAAAAAAAACACTTTAATTTTAATCATTCAATATTTTTCTTAGACCGGACAAAGCGGGCGCGGGGAACCGAAGCGGGAAGCTTCCCGCCCAGCGGAACACCGCACTGTCTGCGCGGGAAAGCCTTGTGCGTGAAACAGAGAGGGAAGCCTCTCCCGCTCTCTCTCTGTCTCTCTTGTTGCGATTGGCTGGCGAGTTTTTTTCTTAAAAAAAAAAAAAAAAAAAAAAAAACAACAACCGTTAATCAACGGTAAAAAGTGTATTATTTTTTTTTTTTTTTTGCTGTAACGGCTATTTGTGGTTTTTTTTGTTTTTTGTTTTTTTTTATCCTTTTCCCACTCCTATAAATACATACATATAACATCAAACATCACACTACCCTGTATTCTCTCTACTTTATATAAACAAAAAAAAATGAATCCCGACAATCAAATCTCAACCTCCGATCGAGGGAAAAAAAAGCCATGGTTCGAGTATAAACATCCTTTCTTGCAACATTTTTGCTATCGATCCATCCCCGCAAGGAGTTTACAGCCCCCAACTCGATGCTCTCATTCAATCCCTACTACAATTTCAATAACAAAATGTTGGCCAATATTACCTGATGCAAGATCCAAATGTCCCGTCACAAATGTTTTCAAACTTTGTTGTGTTTCCAGATTAACAATCGTCAAATCAACCTCAACCCCAAACTCAAACTAAAACTCAAACCCAAACCCAACAACAACACCAACTTATCGATGAATCGGATGATACGGAAGAAGAAGACATGGTTCCCGAAACTCAACCAACACCCACCACAAAGACGTAAAGGGAAAAACAAGCGCGCGAGGGTGTCGCACAACCGGGAAGACAAAAGTCAACAACATGGGTTCCATTCGAAGAGCTAGTTTTGGTTAAAGCTTGGGTTGATATTTCTGAAAATTCGATTCAGGGAAACGCACAACCGGGAGAACATTTTTGGTTTCGCATTTTAGAACGATTTCGAGAGGCGCTAGGAAAATGTGACGACTCCCATACGAAACATCAACCTAATTCGAAGTTTCGAGAAATAGCAAAGTGGGTTTAAAAAATAAACGGGTTGTACAACAACCTAAAAATCCAACAAAAAAGCGGCCAAAGGGACGAAGAAATACTTCAAGAAGCGTTACAGTTTTACCTTGAGGAAGTCGGAAAACCATTCAAGTGGCACGATTGTTGGAAATTATTGGTCCGAAGTCCTAGGTGGAAAAAATACGAGCAAGATTTTATTTTTGGAGTCCAACAATCAAAGCGAACGAAAACGGGCTCTAGTGGTTACACAACCTCCTCCGATGCTCCGGTCGGTCTAGATCTAAATCAGGACGACGAACTCGAGCTAGAAGAAATTGTCCACCCAAAGGGTAGGGACAAAGCGAAGAGAAAGGGAAAAGGCACTTGTTCGAGTGCATCTGATTTCAGCGTGAACATTGACGAAATGCGGAAGATAACATCGTCATTTGATCGATATAATCTAAATTTCCCCGAACGTTTGGCTTTCGACAAAGGAAAAAAAAGAAACAAGGAAAAAGGAGCGGGGGGGGGAGAGAGAGAGAGAGAGAGAGAGAGAGAGAGAGAGAGAGAGAGAGACAAGAAATGGAAGACATGAAGTTTTTGATGGAAAACGTCGATCATCTCTCGAGACCGGCTCTCAAGCTCGTGATGAAGAAGGGGGGAAAATTCTCCGTAGGTCGTTGGTTTGTTTGGTTTTTAGTTTGTATGTGTGTGTGTGTGTTTTTCTACTTTTTTAAGTTTTAGGTTTAATGTAAGTTTTATTTTAATTAATGAAATGCTTTTTATTTTTAATTAAATTTTATATTTAGTATTAATTTAAAAATTATAATTCATAACAAAAAAACTTTAATTTTATTTAATAAAATAAAATAAAATAAAAAGTGAGGGAAGAGTTTTCCACCCATTCAATGGGTTTTAGGTGAGGGAAAAGAGAGTATGACTCACAAAAAATAAGGGAAGCTTCCCTCCCATTCCTTCCAGTCTTATAAATTAAAATTTCTCAAATATTTAGAATTTCATATTTAATTTTTTTGTTAAATAAATTCATGTAATGCATAGATCTAACACTTAATATAAAATATATAAAACATTTTATTACTATGTAGCCTAAATTAATCCATACCAATTAACCACAATGGCTAATTCGTACATTACAGTTTTTTCTTAATACACAATAATAACAATAATAATGTTGTTATTATAGTGTTGTTGATGCAATTGTTGATGTTATTATAGTGGTTGTTGATGTTAGTTAAGTTTTATGCCATTTGAATAAGCAGATATGCCTTTCAATTTTTCCTAGGATCACGTCCCCTATCTTAGCAGAATATCTTGGCAATCTAACTTTGACCATTTGTCTTTGCATGTGGTGCATGAGTCTGATCATTGGGCTTCATGTTTTTTAAGGACAACAATATCAGAACATACGATGTCAACTTAAAGACAACAATCTTGCTAATAAACCACAACCCATTTCTAAGGATTGAACACTTACAAGAAAAAAGTTTGGCAAATTACAACCAAAAAAAAAAAAAAAAAAACGAAGGAAACCAACCCTCTTGCTAAATTGAGTTTACACAAAGCTACAAGCAAAGATTTGCTTTTATTATATTTTCAAAGACTATTGAAATAAGTTTAAGGGTGTGATATATCTTTTCCAAAAAGTTGTCTAATTCCTTGTGTTGGATCTTTCTGCTTCACAATCGACTCCCCCACCAATATCTACATAAATTAAATATCACACTCATTATAATATTAATATTAATATATAAGTTAAACAGCATCTATTAAAAAACCACTTACCGCTTTTACACCAGCTTCTTGTACATAGGCGATATCAGCAGGTGTGAACAATCCACTCTCCCCCACCACCTAACAATTTATGACATAAAATATTTTATTATCAAAAACAATTTCATCATAAATATAAAATTTCCTACACTTTTTGTGTTTCACTTACTATTATATCTTTCTGCCGAATCTTTTCCCCACGTTCACCTTCAAGCAACCTCTTTGTGTTACTAATATCAACTTTGAATGTTTCTGCTCAAAAAAAGTATAATATCATTGTATTAATGGTAATTAAAATGCATTAATAAACTTATTTATATAAACAGATAACATACCAAGGTTACGATTGTTGATACCAATGAGTTCAATTCCATCAATTGCCAACATGCGATCCATTTCAATCTCATCATGTACCTAACAACAAAATTAGTTTTTTTTACAACTCTCAACTTTATTAAAAAAAAAAAAAAAAAAGGTTTATATATTGTTAAATTCTTTAAATTTTCATTTACATTGAAAAAATGAAGTAAAAGCTTCAATCTAACCTCAACAAGAGCTGTGAGTCCAATCATTTTGCATATTTGGATCATATATTTAATATCAAGATCTGGTAAAACAGCTGCAATTAATAAAACAGCATCTGCACCTTTTGTTCTAGCATAGTAAAGTTGCCATGCATCCACAATGAATTCTTTGCATAAAAGAGGACACTGCATGCATTTTTACTACCATTAAATTCTTGCTAAACTTTAGCAAAAACATAAATAAAGATTAATGAAAAAAAAATGTACCTGAACACCAGCATTCCTTATTGCCTCTAGGTTCTCAAAGCTTCCCTATTGTGATATTAAAGGAATCATAATATAAATTATAATAACAGCATGAATATATATGTTAAATGAAATATTTATATATCTACCTGAAAATATTTTGAATCGGTTAAGACACTAAGGCATGCTGCTCCACCTTTCTCATAAGCTTTTGCAACTTCAACCTGTCACGAGATTAATCTTTGAATAACTAATAGATAGATAAATGTTTGAAGAACAGCTATTAACAATGGAGGCTTAATAACTGCAGGTTTATTAAAAATCTAACTTTCACTTAATGGTTCGACCATAGAAGAGTTTGCTTAGATAAATAGTTAATAGTCTGAATATTTGTTATAAGTTGATAAACAAAACTATTTGAAATATGACAGCAAGCTTGTGGATGGAGGGAAATGTAAAGGAGAAACGAATTTGAGCAAATTTGTAAGAGTTTAAAGAGTAATGAAGACACCTCCTTTTGATTTTCTCTACAGGGATTTATAAGGATTTAAGAATTTCTAAGTGAAGAGACAACTTACTGGATCAAAATCCTCCCTTAAAACTCCTCTACTTGGTGAAGCCTTTTTCACTTCAGCAATTAAACCAGGAAACCCTGTTCGATGATATGAAGCCTTCAGAGCTCCTATAAAGTCTCTGGGAGGATGAACACTTTCAAGAGCTTTCTTCAGTGAATATATTGTATGTTTCTCTTTCATCTGAAAGAAGAAAATGAACTTTATTAGCATGGAGAATTTAACAGTGCCTAACCACAATCGTAATTATCTATGAAACCACTAATCACGGACCTGAGTAACCTCTACATCTTTGTTCCATACAATTTCCTCTAGTATATTACGAGGCTTATTTCCTTCGTTCTGTAAGCGGAACTCAAAAGGACCAACATAATGCAAAGGAGGATCTGTTGGTGATCGTCTTCTTATCCGAATGCCCTGTGTAGCAGCTAATTCGTCTTTTAAAGCCCCAATTTCCCACTCTTTACTTTTGAGTTCATCGAGTATCGATTCACTCGACGGATCGACAACTGAAGACCCGACCAGCGTCCCAGACTACAACATTTGTCAAAATGTATAAAAACCTCGTTGATCAGGTCGGATTTATATATTATTAGACGAAAAAAATGGTAAGTAGAGCAAACCTTTAGTTGATTCATCGATCGCGATCGAACACACGAATTGGTAGTTCTGCGACCATCGATTGGGGCTGACGGAAATGAAATCAATTTACGGAAATTAGATCTAGAGCTAGGGTTCTGTGTGTAGCTGCTGTTAAGCAATGAATGAAAATCGAACCAGACCCTGGAAGATGCTAAACCCTCCATGTTCCGGTCGCCGACGACAACTGCACCGTTAATTAGATTTACCTCTCACATGTTATTTAATAAACCCTAGTTTTAGTTTTGTGTGTAAATATTTTATTCAAAAACATGTGAAACTAAAATAGTTTGTTGTTTGTTTTTTCGAAACGAAAATTAAAGAGGTCATCTTTTGGTTAGATGGTTTGTTTTTTAAACAGTAAAAATTTTGTTGTTTCTAGTTAGAAAAAAATAAATAAATAAATAAAAGCTTATTTGTTTTTAAAAGTTGGGATATATACACTAGAGTTCTAATGTTTTTATCGATTTGACAAGAAAGTCATAAACTTTATTTTTTTAACAGTAAAGTCTAAATTACCGCCACTTTTTGACATTTTTACCTTTTTTTTTTTGTTAGCCAGTAATTAAGACTTTTTTATTAAAAAAAAAAGTTTAGGACTTTCTTGTCAAATCGTCAATTAGGACTTTACTTTCAAAAAAAATGAAGCTTTAGGACATTCTTATCAAATCGTTGAAAATATTGGAGCTTTAGTGTATTTTCGTAACCCAAGAACTTTTAATTGTGACTTTTGTTGCAGCACCACTGTTTTTCTTACCATCATCATCTTTACCCTGACACAATCACAATCAGGAGAAACATATGAAAAAGAGAGAGCAAGAAACGGTGAAAAAACTTGTAAAACTTTCTTCTTGATTCACCACAAATCTTGAACTAAAAAGTGGGAACAGATTATACAAACACAAACAACACATGCCTAGTCAAAAAGGTGTGAATGTGGAAAAAGGAAATTTCATTTTTTTCAGTTTCTTATTTCTCCATTTTAGGGATGCAAAAAGCCAACACAACCCTGGTTTTTTCTTTCTTATTTTCTTGATTATCTCCATTTTTTCAATGTTAGTTTGTTGAGATTAAAAAAGCAATTTAACAAGAAGCAAACGTTAAGGATTTCAAAAAGACCTAGCTGACTAAAGAAGGTTTCAATAACTCTTATGCTTAAAGAGTATTATACCATTAAATTTCTAACCAAAAAAAGGATATATACACTGAAGTCTCAATATTTTCAACGTTTTGACAAGAAAATCCTAAACTTTATTTTTTTGACAGTAAAGTCCTAATTGACAATTTAACAAGAAAGTCCTAAACTTTATTTTTATTTTTTTTTTTTACAAAAAAATTTTAATTACAGGCTAACCAGAAAAAAATTGTAAAAATGTCAAAAATTGTCTGTAATTTGGACTTTACTGTAAAAAAAATATAGTTTAGGACTTTCTTATCAAATCGATGAAAATATTGGGACTTTAGTTTATATATCCCTTAAAAGTTTTCAGATTTTTCATACTAGTTTGCTTTTTGAAGTTTTCATATTTATATAAAAAAGACTAAAATGTATTATTAAAAAAAAAAAAAAAAGGATAAATTTTCATAACTGATTTATGTGATTTTCAAAAATATCATTTTCAAGATAATTATTAAAAGCATCACACTCTATGTCCCTGTAATTTCAAAATATAATATGGTTGATCTTTATAGCTAATACTATTTAAAACAATGGTTAAGTATCAATAAAATAACTAATTTATGGCTCTTTATGTTTTTTTAAAGTATCTTTTCAAGATAACTATTAAAAGCGTCACATCATACGTCCTTATAGTTTCAAAATATTGCATGAATAATCTTTACAGCGAATTCTTATAAAAACAACGGTTTACCACTTTTTATTTCTTTTGTTGTTTTAATTTGTTTTCTTCTCTTATTTTTTGAAATGGTAAATTTAAACTACTCCTAAACTACGCCTTAAATTCACATATATCCACGATAGAACTTGAACCCTCAACCTCGAGTATGGAGGGCAACACCTGATATCGTTAGGATGTAAGCCATTTGGTTCTTCTCTTATTAACCCAAAGAATCCCCACTCCTTACACATCTTCAAACTAAGTTTTTCTTTTAAAAACATAAGTAAAACATTCATTTTTCCATAAAGATAGAAATACCAAATATTTTAAAATCCTATCATAAAAACAATATATCATAATAGTTATAAAATAGCAGAAGTCTTAAAACATAATCATTAGTGATCTGCATGCGACATAGACAAGTTGGAGTTTTATTACTGCCAGAAGCATAACTTGAAAAACATTTAATTCACAGTTGTAAGCATAAATCTTATTGAATTCCCCAAAATATCACATAACATAATACACATACACTACATACAAACAATGCTCTTAGCTTCGGTACCGATCCACCATCAACATTGGGTATCTAGGCTCTCGGTTCCAATGTTGATCCACCATCAACCCTTGAGCATCTCAGCTCTCAACTTCAGTGTTGATCCACCATCAACCTCTCAACATAATATGTCTACATATCATACAACCACATAGTCAAAAAAATCACGTAATCAATAGGAAAAAGACTATACTAGCCTATTTACCTAATCAACATACTACAGTACACTAACATATAGAGGATATATATTGTAACACATAATATAGTAAGATAATTCACCTAAACAGAAAGCTAGAGAATCACAACTACGTACACAACCTCGCACGAACCGTCTCACGAACACCTAGACAACAATCAGAGGTCAACCCTCAGTTTATAGTTCAATCCTTAAAGTTTAACCGAAAGTCAAACTTGTCAAAAGCCAATTGGTCAAAGTTTGAAATGCCACAAGATCTAGCTTATTGGCACCAAAAAGGAACTTCCTTCACCTTCAATATATACACCAAAAGCTTGAAAGCTCAACAACTCATGAAATAGAGATTAGGGTTTTAGGAGAAACGTTTATGAGGAATGAAGTTGCAAAATGAGGCAACCCTAAGAGTTAATATCCTTAATTAGATCACAAGGCCCAATGTTTAGGGTTTTATGTAAATAGCAGCATTGCGTTGAGACTAATGGTTTTTAGTTGTGTCCTGACCGAACTTATCTGTGTCGCGCTTCTGTTTCCTTCATAAAACTCATCATCCTTAAACACTTAAATTAAATAAATTTGATGTAAACATTCCCAAAAGTAGGCGTTACATGAACACCAAAACCGAAATTTGGAATCGCATCCTACAGACCATATAGCATTGATTATGTGCAATGTAATGAATTTACACATGTGCATAGGAGTGGCTACGCACCGTGTAGCAGATGAAAATCAAGGAGAGGATATGGTAGTGCAATCATCAAAATTAGGGTTAAAAGATCGGATTAAATCCGGTTATGTGATTCTCTATTTATAAGGAGGCTTAGGAACCCATATGGGATAATTACTTGGTCACCAAGTAATTATCCATAAGTTTGGTAAATATCCTAAAGATTTGACCTTCAAATCCTTACATTTAAGCCCCTGGCTACAAGTTTTTTATTAATTAATTAAAGCCTTAATTAATTACCAAACTAGACCCCAAAAAAATTATTGTGTCATTTGTTGCTAATATTTGTCTTTTTGTGTAATCTAAAAGGACCATACAATTAATAACAATTAATAGTAATTTTACCAACTGTTGTGATTATGGGCACAATTTCTAACAAAAATAAAACTCTCAAATACACCCACTTTTTTCTGAATTTGATGGTTTAGACAAGAATGAGTAATTTTCTCTCAAGCACACTTTTAATGGGTTAAGAGGGGACCAACAATGTTACACTTACACCATCAGATTACACAATCATGTAATGAGTTACATAACATTGTAACTCCACAAAAGCACCAAAATGGCAAACTACTTCTTAGAAATTCAATTTATGCATCTCAACATACTTACACGATCGTGTAATCCTCTGATGACCAACATTATCATTTACTTTCATTATTTCATGTTTGGGCACTTCGTGATACTTACACAATCATGTAAGGCCTTTATATGATCGTTTAATAGCCTTGGTATACAAAAAGGTAATGTACTTTACATCGTATACTTCTACGACTTGTAACTTCCTCGTATAAACTTGGATTTCAATGAGTTTTATATCCATGGAAAAATGATCGAAGTGAATTACAACTTTCCTATAACAAATCCCTACTGATCTACTTTTCAGTTGTGATGCATATGCACATTGACATATGCATAATATCCATATACAAAAAAGTACGTCTTTGTGTATTTCTTTCAGCGAATCATCCAAAACGATTTATCCAAATGATTTGTATGTTGTGTATTTTAATAATATCATGGAGAAGATGTTCTTATTATATTTATTATATATTGGAAAAATAATATCTTTGTGTTTGCAAAGCCACTAAAAATTCGTTTATTTACGAAAAAACCATTAGAAAGTCGCTTTAATTTCACACACACACACCCCAAAAAAAAAAAACTATTTTTGTTTTTGAAAAAACTTTGCAACCGAATGGGAGTTTTCTACCGGCTAAAATTTCAAATAAGTACAAATTCTACGGATGAGAGTTTTCATAAATAATGCCAAAGTTTAGGGATTTTTTTTTTTTTTTTTTTTTTTGAAAATTTCCCTATTATTAATATATATAACTTTTTCTCACATAATGCTACATAGAAAAAGAGAAAACTGGTATAAGAGTTTTTGGGGTGGAAATTATGGATCAGGGTGTAAATTGGTGGAGTTATTGGCTGGAATTTTTTTCAAGATTTGATTAATAAGCACTTCTTATTTTATTCCCTCTAAACGTTAAAAAATGCTTATCAGCAAATACCAAACCTCAATATGCTAATAAACACTTTTTACCATTATACAGCACCAGGGTCAATTTTAACCAGTTTCTACAAGGATATACCAACACAGACTTGGTTCAAAATGTAATTTGCTAATTGCAAATTAAAAAAAAAAAATAAAAAAAAAATAATAATTGATTACACACTACAATTTAAACCCTGAGGAATATTTATTGCAAATGGTTGATATACCTGTTTACAATCTTGTTGAAGGTCTGACAAAATATCCAAGTATTAAATAGCCATGTGTGTGTGTGTGTGTGTGTTCATATCTGGCCATTCATTTGAAAAACTTTGTGACACTATCAAACAAATTTAGAGCCTTGAGCTCACCTTTCTTCATATCCCTTAATTTTCTCCTCAATATCTGCAAGTTCCCACAAATCACATCAAAAAAGATAGCATGAGGATGTAGTGAAAGGGGCAAAAGTGTCCTTACGTATTGAGCACGAAAGAGAATTCTCTGTTCACTATTGCACAAGTCTACAGCTAGCTGTTTAAGGAACACTTTTCGGTTGAGTTGCTTTGGAGATGTTATATCCAAATCCATTGATCCACTTGCCTGAAGGAATTTGGTGTACTTTGAAATGCTGGATTCACAGTTATCCAAGATAAACTGGAATGCTTGTTCCTCTAGTTCAGGATACCTGATCTCCTTATTGGTGGTGGATTTATTTGATGCTGCTGCAGCCATCTGAATATAATATATTGCTTTAAATCTTAATATAAATACTCAATGCAACTAAAAGACTGTTTATGTCTTACCTCTTCAAACTTTCCACTCATACTAGGGGGACTCACAGCTAAATACGCGTATGCCATCAGCTCCAATGGCCAACCAGTCACTTGTAAAGGAAAACACTGTGATCTGATACATACAAAATCACACATATGAAATCAGAATTTTTCATACAAGTAAAAGACGTAATTGCCCTCGTCATAGAATAACCTAAAAACATCTTGGATGTGATGAACTCACGCTGATAACCCGTTCTTTTTCAGAGCTTCCAGTTTCTCTTGATAACATTTATCTGATTTTTTAAGGGACAATGGCAACTCAACTGAGTCACGTGGGTTTGTCCCTTGTCTTGGCACAAATCCATATGAGAGCAGGAGTTCTCCATTAGATTTTCTGCCATATGAAATGAACACCTGCAGAAGGAAATTTGGAGTTACAAAAGTTAATTTCCATGTGAGAGTTTACATGAAGTATACTTAAAAGAGAGAATTTTGTAACATGATTACCTGCTCACCTGGCTGATATGGACGATCAGTTGTGAATACAACTCCTTTTGATGATTTATCATAATCCAAAAAGGTTTCCACCTGTCAACAACGAAAAAACAAAATTCTAGTTATTGTCAGTTACTATTAAGTTATCTTGATTTAAGTAAATGAGACATTGGTTTTTAATACATACATCACAGCTATGATTCAGCATATCTGCCCAAGGGACTAAGGCAACCCTTCCATCCAGTGAAGGTAACCTAACCTGTAACAGTAACAAACAAGATCCAGACCATTTAATATTAATAATAATATAAAGATTAGTAATTACAATTTGTTATGTAACTCACCAATCTTGAAAAAAGAATACCGAATGACCATCTAAATGTTTCCATGTTGAACACCTCTTCAGGAAATAAATTAGGATGCTTGGAAAAAATTCTGTCTCTCAAGTCATTATATCTGAAAAAAAGATTAAAACAGGCATTACAATGTATAAGATTTTTCAGGGGTAGAGATAACTGAACAAAGATAGAGAAAATGTCTGCATACGTTCCAGTTACATTGTTGATTCTTTCAATTGCTCGTTCTCTAATCTGTGATGCTTCCAAATACCTATCTAATTCAGCTCGTGTCCTGAAATAATACAAATATGCTGTAGGGGAAAATACTGAGCATGGATCCTTAAATTACTGAAGGAGACTGTGGAATAAGATCAAGGAAATGTTACCAGTATAAAAGGGAGTAAGGCTGTCTTGGTAAGGCTGATATATAGTTGCTCCATCTAGACGATTTCATAAGACTTGCTTCACTAATTAGGTAAGTTGCAATCAATGGCCAATCTGGTACATCATATCTCTTCAAAACTTCCCCTGCTTCTGGAAAACTCCACTCCTGATTTCCAAAATTCAGTGTAAAAAGTTATGATCAAATCAGTTTTTAGGGTTTCTAGTTCCATGTATTAATAAACCTCAATGCCCTAACTGGACATGCTTTGAAGCTTTAAAATGTAACCTAATTAACTCTCCAAATGTGATGGTCAGTTGAATGAAGCTTTGAATCAAATCAATTTGAGCAACATAGATGCATCGTTCAGGTCTATGTATGTAATAATCAAATAAGAGATATCATACCGAATTGGCGGAGATGACGAGTGAGGGAGGTACAAATAGAATTTTCTCCCCCTTCCTGATGTTATTATTCGCAACAAGACCCCGCTCTCCAACATCAACCTTCCGTAGGTCCATTTTCTGAGGCGGCAAACCGGAATCCGTCAGCCATTTCTGCAACGAAGCCGCGTTCTCCAGAGAATCTATTTCGCAACCCCAAGGTATCGGCTGAGGAGCCGCGGCAGCCTTAGCTGTATCGCTGCTGCTGGTGGAGATCGTGCAGCGGATGATCGTTGGTGAGGTTTTTCGTTGAGCGATCGTCAGAGAGCAAGGCTTTCTGAGGGATAAACTTTGCGATAATGAAGGCATGAGTGTGGTCTGGAAGATCCTGGAAGCTTCCGCCATGGCCGGAGACGGAGGGTGGAGGAGAGGGAAAAACCTTATCTACTGAAGCTTGCTTTCGAGTAGAGTGGATACTGGTGCGTTGGTCGTTTTGACGGTTGTTGTAACTCTTTGCCCGTTGGAAAATCTTAATCCTACTTTTACCACCCTATCTTTCGTTTTTTGCAATTTGATCACTAAATAGTTTAACTTTGCCAATCTAACCTAATAGAATGTTACAAAGTGAAAACTCTAAAATATTTTGAACACATAATTTTATAGATAAAATTAATTTATCAATACGTTTTCTATAAAAGTAAAAATAATTTTTTTTAAATCACAATCAATCTTACCAAAATTTGAAAAATATAATATATACAACAAGACTGAAGGTAATCATATAAAAATTAAAAATAAATAAATAAAATTAAATGACATCTTATTGGTATCCAAATATAGAACTATAACCATTTTATTTATGATGTTTAGTATGATATGTTGAAGATATGGTCAGTAATCCACTTATTAATGTTCAAAATCTAACACTACTTAACCCATATAGTCATGTAGGTTCGTCTGTTGAAACTTCAGAAAATAAGACATAACCTCATGTTTGTAGCGGAGATTAATCGGTATATAAAAAATGATTTATTAGAAGTTTCTTACCGGAATAAGTTATTTTTCATCCAAACATTTTTTTTAACTTATAGCAGTATGAAACTTCTAATAAATTGTTTTAATAGGTTTAGTCAAACACTCCTTAAAAGCATTCATAACTTTTAAGTTACAAGTTTTTACTTCTTAAAGGTGCTATTTATTTTGTCACATCAACCAAAAAATATCTTAAAATTCATTACATAAGGTATATTAGCAACGAGTTTTTAGGATATATGATATAGATTTTAGTGTTTTAATTTATTTTTTTAATATTTAAATAGCAAATATAAATTTAATCCTAAACTAATTCTAAAAGGTAGTTATGTAGAATGTATCATAGGTAAGTCATTTGTTCATATATTCTTATACAAAATAATTTAGGAAAAAGGTATCTAAAAATGCAGTAACAAACAAGAACGTGGAGTATTTGGAAGCAATCAAGCAATGGAATCGTCTCCAACGCCGTTGGAACCAGTGTGTCGAACTACCCATATACCATTATTCTGTATCTATATCCTCTTGTGCCTCCTACTTCAAGAGTTTTACCATGTTATCTCATACCACCCCCATTTCCTGCAACTTCCCTTCCATCCATTCCCAAAACCCTAAGCACAAACTTCCAAACTTAAAAACCTCGACTCTCCCTCTTTCTTTACAAATTACCAATGCAAGATATAAATTAAAATTCCCCCAATTGACAAAAAGAGGTCACCTTCAAATCCGTCGGAATTCATTAGACACCCAGAAACCACAAGAACCTGATTTGGAGCAAAAAGATTCAATGAAAGTTGACGGCGAGATTGGTGCTGGTGGTGGTAGCGGCGGTCGGACGACTTCGTTTTTAATCTTCTTGCTGTGGGGTGGACTCATGTATTATATTTTCATTCTCGCACCCAACCAGACTCCGGTATTGATTTGTGAATTATTTTGGTTTTCGTTAACTTTATCTGTTGCAATTTAGCCCTGATTGCCTAATAGGGATGAAATTATGATGATAAATTCAAGTAATTTTATGCAATGGGATGAATTCAATCATTCATACATCGATAATTATTTGAACCGGTGTACTTTCCAGTCGACGGACATGTATCTGGTGAAAAAGCTTTGCTATTTAATTGGGGACGATGGTTTCCAACTGAACCATGTGATTGTGAGTCTATGGAACATTATGGGATTATGGCCTTTACTCTATTGTATGCTGCTGATTCCATCAGGCAGAAGGTACCCAGTCAATCGTAATCTTTAGCTTTGATATTTTGATTCATGGATTTCTTGTTCATGATTAAGAGATTTGAAAATTGTCCCATTTCGCAGCTCAAAAGGGAGTGTTCCTGTGTTTCCTTTTCTGATACTTTCATTCTTCTTGGGTGCATATGCTCTTATACCTTATTTTGTTCTTTGGAAACCACCACCACCACCAACCGAAGAAGCTGAGCTGAAAAAATGGCCTTTAAACTTTCTTGAGTCAAAACTGACAGCTGGGGTAAGATTCTAGTCCTTAAACTTCAAAATTATCCAAAAAAAAAAATGTAAGCTGCTATTTCTTGTATATAGCCCTACTTGATATGAGATGAATTTCCTACTTCATTTCAATAACTACACACCAGATAACATTTGCTGTAGGATTAGGTCTAATTACCTATGCGGGTTTGGCCTCTGGGGATGATTGGAAGGAGTATTTGCAATATTTTGGAGGGAGTAGACTCGTAAGTCCCCTATTTTTGATCCAACAATAACAAGACAATAATATTGTGATAGACATGACATGACATGATATGATAGGATCGAACACTACTAGATAACAGATATAACAAGACAATATTGTACTAGATATAGCAGTACAATATTGTATGTGACATGACATGGTAAGACAAAACAGAACAGAATCATGACTACATGACAAGACAAGTTTCTTGCTCATTTTTTTGTATGAGACAAAAAAGTTGCAATTTTTTGACCTACTGATATTAGTCATGTCATGTTGTGTCTTGTCTTGTCTGACAATGCAAAGTTACTAAAAGGCCCTTTTTGTTTCTCGCAGATACATGCTACAAGCATTGATTTTGCACTGTTATCTACGTTTGCGCCTTTTTGGGTTTACAATGACATGAGTGCTCGAAAATGGTGAGATTTTTTTATTATTGACTTCATAATGTGAATCAAGATTTTAAAATATTCTGAATTATTTATTATATGGTTTGCATTTACAGGGAGGACAAGGGGTTTTGGCTTCTTCCGTTTTCGGTGATTCCATTTTTGGGCCCTTCTTTGTATGTTCTCTTGAGGCCATCTTTGTCAACAGTTCCTGTTGCACCCATCTCACTTGCTTCAAAAGAGGAGTGATGTATATCATATGTATTCGTTGTTCTAAGGCCATATTTAATGTATTACATAATTTCAATGCATAAAAATGTGGAAATAGCAAGTTATATATGTTCAGTTGGAGTTCATTACCTTTTTTTCTATTTTGATGTCGACAATTGTGTAAATGTGTCTATATAATGTATGTATCACTTTTTTACGCTTAGGCTAAAGGGTGTGGTATAATTCTTGCCAATGCTAAAAACATTTCATAAATTAAAAACATTACATTTGATATCATTGTCAATTGGCTCATTTAAATCAATGTCATTAACCCGACATATATGTTCTGCCATATCGTTGCGAAGATCGTGGTGTTTTTTATTGTCACGTATCGCCCTACTTCTTGCACGCCATGGGATGGAACCGGGCGGTATTGGAGCACTTGAGGATACACTTGAGGATGCATTGTCATTTGATTGAAATTGACAAATTATTCTATGTCCGTTTCCCAAAATCATATTATGTAAAATGATACATGCATACATGATACAAGCGAGTTTTTCCACACTTTGAGGATGAACCGGATGTTGTAGTATATGCCAACACTTCTTGAGGACTCCAAATGTTTGTTTGATATCCTTCCTAGCCTTTTCTTGGTACGTTTTATACTTTATGCATTTTGGATCACCCGGACATGTTAGCGTTTTCACAAACACAACAAATTCATGGTATATATCATCAACAAGATAATACCCATAATCGTACATCGTTCCATTCTCTTGAAATGGACAGTTAGGTGCGGACCAATCACAAAACCCATTGAATGTGGGCGACATGTCTAAAACATTAATATTGTTGTTTGAGCCGAGAGCACCAAAAAATGCATGTTAAATCCAAAGATCATGTGACGCAACAACTTCAAGTATGACTATAGGATGACCCTTATCACCCCATGTAAATTGTTCTTGCCATGCATCATGACAACTACCCCTAGCCCAATTAAGACAATCCAAACTTCCAAGTATACCACGAAAGCCATGAACAGTAGCATGATGAACAAATGATGATTAAACGTCAGCAAAAGTGAGTTTACGTAGATACCTTAGACCATAAATCGTGACAATGAATCTACAAAACTCATCCAAACTATCCCTAGCTACCCCCTCAAACATTTGAAAATATTCGTCTAATGAATCAGAAACGGAACCGTATGCTGATTGACGAACCGTAACTGCACATTTTTGTATTTCTGAAAACCCATCCGCACCTCTTGCATCGACATTGTCTAATATATTCAGAAATGTTGACGTCACCTACTATACGAAGATATAAAGGTTTCGCCATTCAGAATTGACGTCGAAACCGGTGTTCCCCGTAAACAGAATTTTCATTGAAGTAGTGTGTCATTAGACAGTATTTGCATTCCAACGATCTCTGAAAAGCATCTTCCGCGTCTTAGGTGGCCTAGATTTGACTTCTTCTTCTTCTTCTTCTTGCACCGTTTCTATAACCGCTTTCCATGATTTAACAACAGTTTTCTTAATGATTAGCAACAACTTACAATTTTGTAATGGATTTGTCATTTTTCTTAGAGAATTTTTTCAAAAAGGTAAGATGAATATATGTTTGAGTGATTAGATTGTGATATGGAGTATATGTTTGTATTTATAGTTGTAAGAAAAAATGAAAATAAATAAATATGGCAACGATCATTTGCAACGTTCACAAATCCCATCCAACGTCCACTTTTTCAAAAAATTTCCCTTGGTAGAAACTCTCCGCCGATATTATACCGGCTGTGAAAATGACCCTATGGCCCGTGTTTAATGGTGGTAAACATGCCAACTAAGCATTCGCCAACAGTAAAAATGCATGACACTGCGTAGAAGGGCGAAGCCAAAAGAAAATTTTAGGGTGGTCCTTACAAAATAATATATATATATATATATATATATATATATATATATATATATATATATATATATATATATATATATATATATATAGAGAGAGAGAGAGAGAGAGAGAGAGAGCCCATTGATTTTGAAGGTTTTATATGAAAAGTGAATATAGTCCAAAATACAATTTTTTTATGTCTAAAAAAAATAAATCTAAAAAAACTAAAAACTAAAGAAAATTATCTAAAAATGAAATTTTGCAAATT